CCCTCCACACGTGTTCACTGGCGGGAGGGGGAGGGGGGCACAACTGAGGTCGGGGGTCCGGAATAACAAAGTTCAGAGGAACAAACGATTCGAAAACACATATAACAGCAGACAGCTATTGGTCGTCTCACCCATTGCTGGTCCCAGAGTATGTCGCCTCTGAAGGACAGGTCTTTCATGTCTCTCGGATTCGTCCTCCTCATCATCCCCTTCTTCATCTCGTTCATCATCGCCGTCCTCTGTGGCGTCCTCGGAAGTGGCACCATCTCCGTCCTCAGCAGCCTTGGCGGAACGTGGAGGGACTGGAGGGTCGGGCATTCGGTTCTTCTGGTCGCCGGCCCCTTGTTCGTCGACTGACCGGTTGTACCCAACGGCTTCACCATCAGTGTTGGCTGTGAGTCAGGAACAACGGGAGGGAGCAGGGAGGAGGATTTAGCATGTATAAAAAAGAGATCACATAGCAACAATGGAACGGCTGCGAACCCGACAAAACAGACACGCGGTTTAAACATCGCATTCGACGAATGCACCCTAATGGGTGCAGAATAAGAGAATTCATTTATTATTTGTCATCGGTAGCAGACTATGTTCCCTCCGCTGCGGCCCAGCTGGCAACACAGCCGCAGGCGTCACTTGCGATTGGCTATATTCAAGGTCGCGGGAAGCCGTCCTTTTCGCAGACGGTAGGACCATAGCGAAGACTAGTGACTAATAGGGACGGAAGGCCGACAAATACGGTGGCCGCGTTTTACCATTGTCAAATAACCAGTCCCCTTGCAGGTTTGCCAACTGTATGTTAGTCAGTGAACGCGTCACATCCCCGGAGCGCGCGACGGGCAGTCTCCCCAAATGTCATCCAGGCCAGTATGAAGGGGAAACCGGAGATCTGGGTAAAAAGGTGATCGTACGATGTCGAAAACACGTTTTTGGCCGCCTCGACATGATATGGGAACAAAAACTGCCCATCATAAAAATTAATTGCGCCAAATGCCGGGGAAATTGGGGATAGGGTGAATTTTGAGTTAACTTTAGGTTCCGGGGCAGTGTTAAGGTTATAATTCGGATTAGAGCTAGGCTTACGACTTGGGAATATTTACCCTTCGTGGAAAGGTCGGCAACGGTAGCTTATGTAGGCCCACTCATTAATCCCTATTCTCTGCATGTTTACCTACGAAAACGGTCGTTATAGGGTTTTATGGGCGGGGAATTAGGACACGCAGTAGAATATACTTTAACAAATACGAAAACGGTGGTTATAGGGTTTTATGGGTGGGAAATTAGGACACGCAGTGGAATATACTTTAATAAATGACTAAATGCATTTTTATTTTACTGTATTTAGAAGTGTTGTTGATTTTTATCTGCAGATTTTCCTAATCATTTAATTTATTGCGGAAAAACCCCATTATCAAATTGCAGGTTTCTTGAATTTCCCGAAGAATTGAAATGGTGGTTAGGTCGTATACTTCAACTTACCTGAGGTCCAACTTACTGTTCTGGAGTTAGGTTAGTAAAGTCCGCGGCGCAAAGCGCCGCGCACACCTTCAATTTACATTCGGCCGCGGAAGGCAAATTCGACTACATTTTTTCTCTTAACACATACTTCTAAAAATTTCCTTTTCTGCCCATTCTTTTTTCCCACCCCCCCAAAACTCTATAACCACCGTTTTTGCAGGACAAAATACTGGGACTAGGGGTATATGAGTGGGCCTACATAAGCTACTTTTGCCGAAAGGTCACTTGTGCTACGGGGAAGGGGGAGTCCACGAGGGCTCTTCAGATGCCACGTGCAGCTAGACGGCTAGAAAGTAATTTGTGTTTTTTTTCCTCGTTAGTCTGCACCAGCGTGTGTTCTTAACTCGTTATCCATGCGAACGAAATCACGAGGGATGCGGACGCAACGCATCTACATCGAAAGAATAATGGATTACATAA